CTTATATATTCATTATATAATACCTATATGTATAAATAATATCCATAATAATTGACAGATAATTTTTAACCATCTGAAATAATATAAAAGTATATGAGGAAATCTGAGAGAGTGGAAAGAACTGTTCTAATCAGGATTTGAATTCAGATTGTCTGCTAATAGGCAGGTCCCTAACCACAAGACCACTGAGGGCCTTATGGCGAACTCAAGTACTGTTTAAAACAAGCATTTCCGCTCTCTTGCGCGAGTCGGGCGCACAGAACATAACTATTGTTCTGAACTCGTGCATCAGAGATCTGTATCAGATACACCCTCATCTAAAAACAATGAGACTACCATTTAATTGAGTACATCGGGTATTTGCGTGAAATCAATGGCTTGTTTGGACTTTGGACTCATGTTTGTGTTTTCATCTTATTAACCTGATTATTACGTTCACCTTCTCATACCATCAATGTCATTTTTTAAACAATCTTTATATTATATTAATTGATAAGAAGAAATGACCTTCATATCAACATATACAAATACTTATAATAAATTAATAGCAAAGATTGATTTTTGTTCTCATACGATTCACATAGATGGTTATATGAATTGAAATATTTTAAGTGTAGTGTACATTTTTACCAAAAGTGACTAACATCATCACAATGAAAAATGTACAATTTCTAATCAGGTTTTAACAACAATTGTTGTAGAAATGTGAAAAGGGAGAAACTATACAATGTACTAAAGCAAGTAAATCAAAATAAAAAATGTATTTAAAAGTGCAAAGTGAACTCTATCTGAGCTTCATATCAACATTGTGTGTATTTAATATACTTCTATATTAGGCTGTTCTGTATTCTATCATGTGTTCTTATATAGCGTGTGCTTCTTATTCTACTGAGGTTTTCTATAAATTAAAAGTTGAACAGTGTTGTCATACCGGTCTGTTTTCCTCTTTCTTTCTTTGTGCTGCCTTCGTTTTCCCAAACCTCCAATCCAGTCCTTAGTCCCATTAGTTCCCGAGAGAGATCGACCCGTGTCTACCACCTAGAGCACAGGTGAGTGCAATGAAGAAGCATGCAGACAACATTCGGTACATTTTGATGATGACACAAACATGTTTATTGCTTCTGGATACGATACACATTCCATGCATATCTAATGAGATGGATCCTATGAATATGCATTACACACCTGAGCATGCCGGGACTAGCACATTCCCATAATACGTTAAGTCATTTGTCAGTAAATCATAATGTAAGATTTTGTGTGATTTTCTTTTAACTCTTATTATATTTAGCATCATCTCTGATTATTAATATAAATAATAACTATTATTTTCTTGATATATTTTCAAGTTAATAAGTTAACGTTAGCATGCTAGTTGTAGCAAATGTTGGAATGAACATGCACTTTTCTCAGCAATTTACTGGTCTTTTGTCCAATGTCCTCGCTTCACCTGGTTGTCCATCTGATTCTCGCTTTTTTCGCAAGTTTTTCTTTGAGAAATAATGATAAGGCTTTTGTTCATCAACGTGCAACAGCAGCTTAGTACCATGCTCAGTGAAAACAGATACAAATGTTTTGCACCACTTTATTTAGTTTTTACCTGTATTCGTCTTTTCATTTGCTCAATATATCTTTCTACTACCTGGTGAAATTTAAAATGGGTAACATTGCTATACTCAGTTTGAGGAAAAAAAGTATGTAAGGGGAAAACATTTAAATGTGTTGAATATGTGCGCAACAGAGAAAAACCAGAAAAGGCCTTGTAGATTCTCACACTTTATGGCTTTGACACTTGCAACCCATAACCTTTTGAATATATTCACAAAGCAATTACGACCAAATTTTTGCATCACAATCGTAGCCTTACTACAGTGTGTTTATGCCAGAGACAAATCTTGCATATTAAATATCTTACTTTATACTGTAAGAATAAAAATTAAATTATGTATCTATATAAATGCATAAAAAACCCATCAAGAAATTTAGTAATTATTATGTATTATGTATTATCAAAAACTGTTTGTTTATATTGTAAAATGTTTATTAATATCTACATGTTCATATTTGTACGCGGACAAATGATTATCATATCTATGGCTATAATATACTTGTGAAGTTCTTTGGAAAACTGGAGAAATGTGAACACTTATAACTTCATTGAAATAATCTAATCAAATTGAAGCAGCCAAACTTTTAATTGTTCCGACAAATGCATGTCTTTTATGAAATATAGTGCAGATATTCAATTACCATTTCCAAACAATGTTTCAATCACCTGCTCATTTTAGTTTTAAAAGAAGCGGAAAAGTATTTATGAAAACATCGTGTTTTACAGAGTAAACCCATTACCGTTACTAACCTCATTCAATCTATCTCCCTTCACTGCTGGTGTTATATGCTGAATAGTGATTGAAATATTATATCTATTTAAATTATATTTTACATACAAATAAAATCTGGATAACTTTAATTTAATATTGTATGAAGATAATCATACTAATGACCAATTATCTTGTTGGTGTTCAGTGTCTATGACGATATTATTATTAATTTGAAAGCATAAAGCCGGCCACACATTGCAACAACGGTATAGCCGCCGCGTGTCCATAGAGATCACTACATGATCAGCCATGTGCAATTGATAATTTTGAACAATCTACTCGAACAACTACCAACAAACGGCATTGCGTCGTCTAGCGCTTGACGGCTATCGGCTAATGCAATGTGTGCCTGGGTAGTATATGGTTCTTATCCCTACTTTACTTACACACAGACAGCAACTGTTTGATTACTTTAATTAAGAGTTAAAAATGATTACATAATTTATGGTTAATTTGGTGAATGAATCCAAGAGTAAACAGTTATAGGCCTATATAAATGTTTATCATATTAATAAATTAGTTACTCCTCACCTTATTATAAAGTACATTTCTTTGGCAAAGAGATAATACTTTTTTATACAGTTGGCCACTATTTTGTTTTATTATATTGGTTTTTTTTTTATAATATTGCATTTTTTTAGAAAGTATCTATAATTATTAATCATATAAATTAGCTTTAAAAAAATTTTAAAATCATAAATTAATAAATATAATATTGGGCATTGAGTGTAAGTTAATTAGGGTTCAAATGATAAATATTGCTGGATGGATAACCCACACCAAGGACAACTGATTAAACAAAGTAATAGTAAATAAATGTTGTATACTGTTCAAACTATCAATGATGCTATTATACTTAATATTTTCATTTCAATATGAAAATGTGAATATTATAATTTGTATCACCATTCATTATCTGATTAAATACATGTAATCCTATATATTATATGCGGTTAGCCATGCACATTATATTGTATATGTTGTTATTAAATGAAATTATATCTGTTGAGGGTACATTTTCATATTAATTTGCAATTTAGATATCTACAGAATAACATATATTCTGGAGCCATACATTATAATTTCTATGATTCCAATAAGTCAACTGAAATGATTGCATAGTTTTTTTTCTCTGATGAATAATGTTGAATAACATTAGGGATGTGATTGTCATTGATTACTACTAATTATATTGGTTTCATTGTCGGACTATTTCTTTGTTCATTTTAATTAACATGAATTTAATTAATAAAATGTTTAAATCGCATCATCAAAACAATAATTCCATAGTGATGATTTAATAATACAAGAAAAAAAATCATAATGTTAATAATAAGATAATTATGAGGGGAAAAAAATCCCAAAAACTTATAAAATTTCTTTTGCTTCTCATTCAAGCTTGCAAGGTAGTGTTTCCCTACCATTTATAAAACAACTTTTTTATCTTATCTTAATAAACTGATACTTGTAAAAACTGTTGACTATTTGTGTTTTAATATAATGTTGCATACTTCCTGTAAATTTTTTGAGGACAATTGGAATTTATAATTAACATGGATTTTTAGAATAATATTAAGTATGACCATAATATAGACTAAAATAATGTTTAAAATGAGAAACAATCCTGTTTTATTCTTGCTTTTGATTGGCTAATAGGATATTTTTTTAATATAATGTTGATTTTTTTTTTTATTAATACATGGCTTTTACTTATTTTAAAATCATTAAATATTTTTTAAAAGGTATCTAGAAAATTCAAATAAGTAGTAACTGTATGTACAATTTTTATTCACCTGAAAAAGTACACAAGTTAATAAAATCATCAGAAAAAAAGTTGCAAATTTTCCAAGACTCAAATAATTGATTATAAACCCATTTCATTACATAATTAAAAAACTAAATTTAAAAATGTCACTAAAGGTTTTAAATTGTTTTTTTCAATAAATTCCTTGGCATTTTGTGCCATGCATTCAAAGGTTATATAGGACACAGCAGATATGAAATACACAATACATAAATAATTCATAATTTATGAATCAGCCTCCTGCTTTCACATTTTAATATCAAGTAATATGAATCTATAAATTATTGATTTGGTCTAAAAAGAATAACAAAATAGGAGACAATATAAGAAATGTGTTAGATAAGTTTTTCTTAATACTGGGCTAGATCAATGTGTTTTATTAAGTGTATCAATATATGTCATAATTACCAACAAAATACATTTACTAAACTCATTAATAGTGTTTTTAATTTAATTCAAACTGTTGAAAAAATGTTCAGTGTTTTAGAAAATTAATGAATCTTTAGACAAATAGAGAATATGATGTCATTTGAATGGCCACAATAGTCATGATGGTGCAGCAGGGGAAGGAGGCTTTATGTCAGTGGGAAACAGTACATTATCATAAGCATATAGCCATACAGTATTTAACTTGTCCACTGAAGGACATGCAAAAATCAATAAAGAAGTGTAACATTGACATAATCAATGAATTTCTTAGTCGTTGAATATTGACTAGACGACAACATATTCTGTTGTATTGAGAGACTAAAAGGTAGGCCTTATTTCACTAACTCAGGAGTTGTCTCTAATACTATTAGATCTTAATACATGCTTTATTGAAATCATCATATCCAAAAGCCAATTTATATGCCGGTAAAAAACTTTCCATTCAAGACCACATTTTCTACATAACTGATGGTGAAATAACAAATAATATCGATCTTTTTGAAATTTATTTGAATAGTACAATTGGGGATAGTTTTTTTTTTTTTATTTATTAATAACAAAAATAATAAAGAATGAAATATACATATATAAAATATACATAAAATTTTGAAGAAAAAATAAATTAAAAATAATTTTTGCTTCATCAATGGATCATATTGTCACCGAAACTATCAATACGGTATTATTATGTTTAGATCACTTTGACAAGTTCAATTATATTTATTTAAATATTTTGTTTTACTAAGTTCATAGAAAAAAATGTCTTCAGAAAGATAAATGTATAGGAATCGTGAATTTTAATATTTGAATTTACTTTTTTAAAAATTAGACAAATCAAAGTGTTCATTAAGGAAATGCATGCTATGTCAACTAGAGTAATTTTTTATATTCATATTTTTAGAATACATTTTTAACATACACGTTATGGAAACAAATAGTAATTTAATTTAAATTTTCAAAATAAAAAAAAATATTTTAAAAATTAAATATACTTCCAGTGTGTTGTCTTGGTAATAAAAATAACATTATTAAATAAATATTATTCGGTACTTGGGACTTAGAGATAAGGAAAAATTAATTTAACGGGGAACATTCAAAGTAGCGTTAATATTAATTTGAATCGTTTATTATGATTTTTCCGAAGGGCGGGATTTACTTGATGATTAATTGAAACTCCCTCTGAATATACAATGACATTACAGTATATTTCTAAAACATTTATATTAAAAAAAAACTTAAATGCTAAAATTATTTCATCTTATTAGTTTCACATAAACTCTCACAAAAGAAATCTGGCTAGAAAAATTGTAAGATTAAAAAATCCACCCAATGCTGTGAAGATATACACAAATACAATATGAAAATTTGTACAGGACTATGTATGGAAGCTCTTGACGACCACAATACAGAATAAATACCATCCCGTGGTACTAATATTATCCAGTTTGTCTTAATCTACAGATTGAATGTTGAGAAATATACCCACATACATGTATTATACTTACTTTTAAATTTGATATTTCCTTTATATTCATAAAATTGGAAAATTGGAAAGGACTGACTGCTTGTTAGAAATAGGGATTTTACGTAATTTTCTTGGTTCACTCCATTTCCCTACTTGTGGCAATCTCCTTATAAATAAGCAGTTTGTTAATATTTGATGTCTGAGAATCTAATGTATTGAAATTTCCAGACAGCACCAAATCTTAATAAAATCAAGAAAAAAAGTGATAAAATTGCTCATTATTTCATAATTTTGATAGCATTATATCATAATTTAATCTTTAAGGAAATCAGCTGATTTTTTTTTTGTATTATTGTCTTTGAAGAAAAAAGGAAAAACATAGAAAACTGTTTACATTTGCACCTTATTAAAGCTGAGTACGAGCAAAATTGGAAAAGACATTTGCATAGGAAGGTCATTTTTCTTTGCTCTAAAATACTATTTCTGTATATGCTTGTTTAAGATTGGCAATCATACGTCCGTTTCCACCGAGAGCGAGCTCATGTTTATGCAATTACCTTGCACGTTGTTGAACTTTGACCTATCATTATTTGTTGTGGTTTTCACTTGCGAGTTTGTCATTCCGTCCTCCATCTCTACACAATCTACTGATCCTGCATCGTTGTCCTGTCCCTGTTTGAGCATGCCCTGTTCTCCCATCGCAGGTGCGCTGCTCACATGCGAGTACTGAGATGTATCTTCAGTATCTGCTTCACGGTGATAGAAATAGTTGAAATTCGACACGATTACTGGAACAGGTAGAGCTATTGTCAAAACTCCTGTGATTGCACACAAAGAGCCGACAATTTTCCCCCCTATAGTCTGCGGCTTCATATCGCCATACCCTACCGTAGTCATGGTGACCACTGCCCACCAGAATGCATCAGGAATACTACTAAATTCTGACTGGTCAAAATCAGCTTCTGCAAAGTACACAGCGCTTGAGTATAGAACAACACCAATACACATAAAGAATATGAGTAGCCCAAGTTCACTCACACTCGCCCTCAAAGTTCTCCCTAATATCTGTAGGCCTTTTGAGTGCCTTGACAATTTAAATATTCTGAACACGCGCACAAGACGTACAACTCGAAGGATGGCCAGAGACATAGCCTGATCGTTGCCCTGACTATCTTTTTTTTCTTCTGAGATCTCCGCAACCATGGTACCCAGTTGGATAAAGTATGGCACAATGGCCATCAGGTCTATTAAGTTCATTATGTTCTTAAGAAACAACAGCTTACTTGGACTGGAAATAAATCTAACAACTAACTCTAAAATAAACCATAGGATGCAACATGATTCTATAATAAAGAATGGGTTTTTGAAGCCACGATACTTGTCAAAACTAGTTTCATTACTGGCGTCCATTGTTTTGTTATTAAATTCTGGCATTGTTTCCATACAGAATATTACAATGGAGATCAGAATTACTGCAACTGATATTACAGCAACTATTCTTGCTCCTCGTGAACTTTCAGGATATTCGAACAGCAACCATATTTTTTGTTGCCATAATTTCTTTGGCAGTTCTCTTTCCTCTTCTTTTATGAATCCCTCATCCTCCCTGTATTTGGAAAGTGCTTCTTCACCAAGATCATAGAATTTCACTTCCTCTGTGAAGACATCGATGGGGACATTGACTGGCCTTCTAAGACGACCGCCACTTTGATAGTAGTAAAGAATAGCATCAAAACTTGGCCGGTTACGATCAAAGAAATATTCATTACGTAACGGATCAAAGTATCTGATGCGTTTTTCAGGATTACCAAGTAATGTGTCTGGGAATTGATTTAATGTTTTGATTTGCGTTTCAAATCGCAAACCGCTGACATTGATGACTACTCGTTCCCAGCTTGGCTCCTGTCCATGGCCAAAGTCCAAACTATCCGCCCTACTGTCCACATCTTCAATTAATCTTGGGATTGAAAGGGAGTTATTTTTTCCAATACTTCCCCCTTGCCCTGTGCCTCCGGGGGCGACAGTAGATCGTATAGATCGGGGTGGATAGTTGCCATTTGCGTTTCCTTCATTCCCGCCTGCTGTAATGGGATCCATTTTCTCATTGATATTCTTGCTTGTACTTGGCGCAGTGGATCGCCAAGGGGGTGCCCACCTATCACACTCGAGCTTGCCCGAGCTTCTGGCAACTCCGCGTGGGGGCGGGGCACCCTCGGTCGGCAAGCGTAACACGACGGCACACACGATGGCAACACAAAATAAAAATTATATTAAAAAGTGGCCAAACCTGTACGTAGGTTTGGCATTTAAGTTGGAAAACAGCCTGGGCAAACTCTCATTAATTTTAAAAGAAACCGCAAAATAGGTGTTTTTATTGGACGTTTTAAAATTCATAAGCGCATCACCAAATTGGTGATGTAACACCCCTCCTGTCCTTAACACCCAGTCGTGTTCCTGCAAGACGTTTGAAAGTAGCTTACAACCAGCTACTAAAACAATAAGAAGCCTACCTGACCAGCGCCGACGAGCTACTCAAAAGAAGAGCACTCTCTTCCTCCGCTGCCACTGAAAATATAAGTCAAATCTGCTTCACTCCAAAACACACAAAAAGTCTCCTTTCCTCAGCTTCGCATTAGCCGCATTACACGTATTTCCAGCATATTCGTCTTCCTTGCATTTCCTGTCTTTTGAACTAAGTTTTGGTATTTGATAGTGCCATGTCCTCCATCTAATCTACCAAGGGTGACCGGCACTAACTTCTTACTCTGTCGCATCAGTCGCCAAAATAACAACACTGTTCGAAGACGTTAACATAATTGAACTTTCCACTCGAATACCCGGATGAGCAAGGGCCCATCAATTTCCTGACGTCACCGCGCATATTTGAATCAAAATTGAAATAGTTTAGATTCCAATTCGCTCAAGTTCAAGCAATTGATCTTCACTAAATAATTCATAACCCTTCCATCGATTAATTCTAAAACTCAGCATAATCAGCTTACAAACAAAGACGTGAAATTTTCTCAACGCTCAGCAAATTATTGCATGAAGAAATATGGAATCGAATATTTGACTCATTATTATGATAGACAAAAAAAAAATTCGCAACGCTTCAACCAACCTTATACAAATTAATACAGTTCCAAAACCGTTATTTCATTAATAGGCGAATTGAATATGAATACATCTATTGAATACATTAATACAATTAACTCTCCATGGAATACTCCTAACAAATAAGTCACAATATTGCAATCGTCATTGTAACTACATCATCTTTTTCTTCAGACAGAACAAAAACACGATCATGGTTTAAAAATAGGCCTACTTAGTTTTTTGAGCAAATAATAACAAATATAAATTGTATTTTTTTTTTTTTTTTTTTTTTTGTGATTTAAGGAGACAGATCTTCTTGACGAGAGAAATGGGCGGGTCACGGCGGTTCCAAAATTCAGTTGTTGGAAATTGAAGATATTGAGGGTCAAAACGGGAAACATTCGCCAGTGTCCTCTGGCCCTGCGACTTACTATTCCGTAGGGGACGTCATGCAGTGAGGATGAACTTAATTCGCAACCTGCCGTCTTCTTAATTAACACAATAACCAGTGGGGGCGCTGAGTACGATTGTAGAGTTGTCATGTCGAAAACGTATCGTCAAATATTCTTGCTAAACAATTCGGTCTTGAGTTAATGGACACGTCTATCCAATTTGAGACCACATGCACCTGAAAATATTGGGTGGTGTAGGGTTTTGGTCTCTAAAAGAGTGCTAGCTTTGTTGGCCCGGGCCCCCCACTTTTTGGCGAAAAATATATAATGTCTGGAGATTTTTGTATGATCGGAAATGCAAAAAAAGAAGAAGGGAAGAAGGAGGAGAAGGATGGGAAAGAGAATGTTTATCCAGTACCCGACCGAGTTACATTTTCTCGCAATTCACATTGGCGGATCTGGGGGAGGGGGTCATGGGTCCTGACCCCTCCCTTGGGCAACAAAAAAAGGGGGGAAAAGAAAAGAATTCTAAACCTACCTTTTCAGGACCCGTGAGCTGATTTTCTTTTTCTTTTTTTTTCTTTTCTTTTTTTTTTTTTTTTTTTTTTTTTTTTTTTTTTTTTTTTTTTGTTGCTATTGGAAAATTACAATTTTGAAGAACATAAAATTCATTAAAACACACTTCAAATGTCGGGAAAGCTCAATTCCCGCCATCTAGGAATCAAAATTTTCCCGGGGGAAAACCCCCGGATCACCCTTTCTTTTTGGGATTTATCGATTCATGGAAAAGAATACGCATGCAACTACTCATTTGTTTATGTATGTATACACACATAAAATAAAAAATGAGAAAAATTTACCTGACCTTTTCCAAGAGGGGAAAAGACATTTCAGAAGTCGAAAAGCTCATCTCCCGCCATCTAGAAATCAAAATTTTTCCGGGGGAGACCCCCTTTATCTTTGGAGTTCATTGATTAATTGAATCATTTTCGGGGGGGGGGGGCCTTGAATTTTGGAGAATTTAAAAGTCATTAAAAGACATCACAAAAGTCGGGAAAGCTCATTTGCCGCCACCTAAGAATCAAAATTTTCCCGGGGAAGAACCATAGGACCTCCCCACCCCCACCCTTTCTTTTTGGGATTTATCGATTAATGGAAAAACTACGTATGCAACTTACTCAATCTTTTTTTATGTATGTAGGGCCTATACACACATAATGCCTATTTACTGTATTAACAATGGGAAAAAATTATCTGACCGTTTTCAAGAGTGGAAAACCTTGAATTTTGAAGAACTTAAATACTTTCAAGTTCTTCAAAATTCAAGGTGTTCCCCTCTTGAAAATTATTATAATGAATCAATGAACCCAGAGAAAGGGAGGTTCGAGTTCTTTCCGGGAAAATGTTGATTTCTAAATGGTGGACAATGAGATTTCCCGACTTCTGAAGTATTTTTTAATGATTTTAATTTAAAAGACACCTCAGAAGTCTGGAAATCTCATTTCCCGCCCTCTAGGAATCAAAATTTTCCTGGGGAAGAACTCCGGACCCCCTTTATTTTTGGGATTCATCGATTCATGGAAAATTCGTATGCAACTACTCATTTTTTAAAAATTGTTATGTATGTATACACACATGAGCCCTATTTACTGTAATAACAATGGAAAAAAATTACCTGACCGTTTTCAAGATGGGAAAACCTTGAATTTTGAAGAACTTCAAAGTAATTAAAGACACGTCAGAAGTCGGGAAAGCTCATTTAACGCCATCTAGAAATCGAAATTTTCCCGGGGGAGGAATGTTGATAAAGAGAAGAGAAAAATAAAGACAAGAATAAAAAGGAAGATATAATGAACAGATATCACAATACCCCGGCCTGCAACCCCTTCTCCACTTCAAAAATTGTCCATAGCGCATTTGAACTAAGCCGCCAGATATTCTCTGTAGTGGCGTAAGCACCGGGAGACAAGGGGAAAATATCAATCTGTGGAAAATCTTTCCCCATTGAATGCCCTTTTCACCCGGGAAAGTGCCTGAAAACCTCAAATTTTAAATCGCATATTTTGTTGAGGTAGGCCAATTTCCTCTAAAAATTCCACATTTAGGGAGTTTTGATCAATTCCAACGAAATTAGAATTAAAAAAAACAAACATTTTTCGCGCGCTTCGCGCGCATTTTTTAATGTTAAAGCTTGTACTTGCTCTCTTTTACATTTTAAGTTATAACACATAGTCCCACACACAAGAAAGAAAATTTAAGATAGATCGTTTTACCTAAAAGAGGGGCCTCAATGTGTAATGATGTTGAAAGAATATGCTTGTAATAAATAAAACTAGGCATAAGGAAAATGCTTATATTCAGTTTAAAAAGACGAATGTGGCCGTATATAACATAAGAGCATTTCTTGTTGAGGTAGGCCAATTTCCTCTAAAAATTCCACATTTTAGGGAGTTTTGATCAATTCCGACGAAATTAGAATTAAAAAAACAAAAATTTTTCGCGCGCTTCGCGCATTTTTTAATCTCCAGGCTTGTGCTTGCTCTCTTTTGCCTTCGAAGTTATAACACATATTCCCAAACTCAAGAAAGAAAATTTAAGATAGATCGTTTTACCTAAAAGAAGGGCCTCAATGTGTATTGATGTTGAAAGAATATGTTTGTAATAAATAAAGCCATAAGGAAAATGCTTATATTCAGTTTAAAAAAACGAGTGTGGCCATATATAACATAAGAGCATTTCTTGTTGAGGTAGGCCAATTTCCTCTAAAAATTCCACATTTAGGGATTTTTGATCAATTCCGACGAAATTAGAATTAAAAACACAAAACTTTTCGCGCGCCTCGCGCGCATTTTTTAGGGTTACAGCTTGTGCTTGCCCTCCTTTACCTTCTAAGTTATATAAAATCCTAATAGTCCCAAACTTGAGAAAGAAAATTTAAGATAGATCGTTGTACCTAAAAGAAGGGCCTCAATGTGAAA